AAAGATATAAGAGAATTACATCGTCAACTCGAGCCCATCGCATAAAAACTCGAGCAGAAAATTTTGAGAATTTGACAAAACAATTTAAAAATGAAAAATTCAAGGGGACAATGACTGCGGCAATGGAATATGGTATAAAATTGGAACCAAAGGCTCGTGATGATTTTATGAAGCAAACAGGTTTGCAGGTATTCACGGTGGGTTTAGTGATTAAGATTAATCAACCATTTTTAGCATCCAGCCCTGATGGAGTTATTCTTGAGGATCATTCATTGTTAGAAATAAAATGCCCACATACGTGTAAGAATGCTCTTATATTCGATAGGGAAACTGACACATGTAATGTTCCATATCTAGTTATTGACGTTGAAGGTAAGATAGATCTGAAGAAATCGCATCAATACTACACTCAAGTGCAGATCTCCATGTACGTCACTGGCCTTGAAAAATGTCATTTTTTTGTGTATAGTGAACGTGACTCAGTACATGCAGTCGTAGACAAAGACGAGGCATTCTTGAGTGAGGTGATTCCTAAAATTGAACATTTCTATTTCAGTTTCTTTCTCCCTGCATCAAACTAAGCACATGTGCCTGCATTTACTCACGAATTAATTTTGTTTAATTGCATCTGATCCTTCGATATTTTATGAAAATTTTATGTTTCATGTTAATGTTTGTATTGATTTTTTGTTGAATTATCACGATAATGGACAGTGCTGAGGGAAAAGATCATGGAATTTTTTTCATAGAGCATTCTCTTCTGAACACAAACGATTCCATGGATTTTTTCTCTTCACCTACTCATTTCTCAGATAATTATCAAAATGTACTTATCTTATATGGAGGTGATACTGCTGATTTAATCGCACGAAGAGACCAGACATTTTTTCGTTAAATAAACTCCAATCACAAAGGTTCAATTTCCATTGAGTTCTCCCGGCATTGTCTGCATTTACTCACCACCAACTTTGTTCAACTAAATGTATTTTTCTCATTATGCATGTTTCATTACGCACGTTCTATTTTTTATATATTAAACATTATTTATTAATTTCACTCGGTGCTGGTCGATTGAGAAAGTGACTCAGATTTTTGCTTTTTGAGGCAAGTATGTTTTTATTACATTAAGTGGATATAAATAGTACAAAAATAATAATCTGTGCAAATTAGTCATAGCACTCGTTTGAATAAATATGAATAAACTCGTTCAAAATTGTTTTCATCTCATTTCTTCCATTCCCATCCTCTTCAACATTTTTTGATCAATGGGGGTAGACCATTTGCAATAATACAGCACATGTGCATTAGAGAATCGACATAAGGAAGGAAATCAATTGAAATATGATCTAATATGTGGAGCAGTTTGATTCTTTGGATGGCTCGCTCCACATGAATGCGTACAGATGCGATGTTGTATCCTGATTCTACTTCTTCCGCTGTAAACTGAGGATTATATGCGTGAGGTGGAATCGTAAGAATAGCGTTCCGTTTCATCAATTCAGATCGAATTTGCGGAAAACCTTTATCGGCTAGCACTTCGTCACCCGGTTCTAACAATTGCAAAAATCCTGAATCATTCACGATGAACGAATCGGTCGCTCTCCCTCCATAAGCTTTAGAGATTTTACAAATAAAACCGTTCGGAGTTATAGCGATGAGGAATTTCTGAGTAAATTTACCTTTATAATTGGAATATGTTAAAACTCGCTGTTCTAATGATGGAGGAGTATCGCATGATATTTCTGTACAATCAATTATGCATCTACAATTCGGATAATTGTGAAAAGATGCGGGAAGCGTTTCTTTTATACTCTCCTTTGATGGCCAAAAAATCCATGTCTTAGTCTTCTGAGTCAAAATTTCAAGTGTCGAATAAAAAATCCGAGATGCTGTACTAGCATGAACATTAAACAAACACCCGGGAGCACAGAAAGATATGCTCAGCTTGAATTTCATCAGAGTTAAGAGCAATCGATTTGGTTTATTCAATTTTCGATACCAAAAAAGCGGGCCATCGCCTTTTTGATCAGGAATAAGGCTCAATAAAATAGAAAAAAAGGTGAGTGTAACACCAGCAAGTTGACGCATCATAACATCCGTTGTGATGTCTACATATCCGTGGAATCCTCGTACGGACGGTTCATTGGGACCACAGCGTGAATCTTTCGTTTTTCTCAAATATTTATCAGGGATGATGACTTTTCCACGTTGAGGTTCATGAAGATAAATTTCCGTTTGAATGGAAACATTGTATTCATCAAATGCAATTATTTTGTCTTGATGGGGTTCCTGGATACGATTTCCTACGTCAACAGATAATCGGCATGGTTCACGACTGCAGAATAAAAAACTTGGATTTGAGCTGAAACATTGGTCTTCCCGCAATGGCTCAGTCTGGATCCCTATGCTACATGTTTCCACCTCATCTATCGTACATTCCATGAGAATATTGTCCACAAACAACAATCATACATTAATACGATTTATCACCAGTAACTATTGACGAAACTTACCGAGTTCCCAATCTGCTGATGTAGTAGTTGATGCTGATGTACTTGGTGACATTTCATTCATACGAGAATTTTGTTTTTTCCACCGATCGATTCTCTCCAGATTCGGAGTTTTACGATTGTAAACATCTGGGAAAATAGTCGGATTGTAGGAAATGTCGTGCATACTATTTGATTTTGCACCCCTCCACGAAATGAGCACTGCAAACTCGCGATGCATCATTTGGAGTCCACGGTTTCCGATCTGCAGTTCTGCGGAATCAATTAATTTTCATTATTCTATTATTCGATTAAATCAACTATATAATTATAATAAGTTAGAACAACTATTACTGCAACCAATTACACAGCACATTCTCTGTGAACGCACAATTTTATCCATTTTTTTGTGTTAATAATCTGATTAAAATACACTGACAGCTACGTACATGTCTGGTTGGTTAAATCTTCGCCATCTCAACTTGGCACGTTTTCCCCGCGTGGCGGCGCTACCTCCGGTACGCATGAGGCGTATTGCACAAATGATGTAATCATGAAATCGGAAAAAAAACCTCTTAAAATCACTTGAAATCAATTATTCCCCGAAATCGTTTGAAATCATGTGAAATCATCACTCACTGTATCACGATATTGGATAATGATCCCTCGCATAAGATAGTAAAAATATCCTTGAGAATGAGAATTGCTTCAATTGCACCGGTTGCCCCAATAGCACCATACTCATCGTTATGGCTATTTTACATTGTTTCATGACGGCATCCAGGGTTAAAAATTAATATAATTAGGGAAATGATAATCAATGAAAATAATAAAAATCAATTACTTACCTTCAAATGCCGGCGACGCTGAACCTAGGCCCCATTTTTCGAGAGACTGTTTAACAATGTTTGGTGTCTCAGTATCACTCATTGTCATTTGGTACCGAACTCACGTCAATATAAAAAAGTTATTCAATTTCACTGAGAATAATAACAGAAAATTACGCAAAATCAGAGCAATAATCTGGAAATACACGCACGATACAAACTTTTGACCTTCTTGTCCCGTTCTTCACACTGAAGTGATCGAGTTCAGACACTCTCGACGGTGGCTACTGATCGCCAAGAATTGATCCTTTCAAGCAGACAATATAAACTTTCAGACAAACTCCAAATACTGGTGAGAAGTAATTTTCTTGGCAGGTTACAAATACCAGTAAAAGGTATATATATAATATTTCTAGATATATTAAATATTTATTGGATGGATATTATGGGTTTCACCGAATTTCGAACACTAATTCAATGCTGATATCCGAATTTAATAAATAAATAATTGTCATCATGTAGTCCAATGAGAAAAAAATGTGGAAATGAAATCTCTTCACTTCAGGGTAATTGATTTACTCAATTTTTGCTGTGAAAAATTGTGCCCAATGTATGGCGTTCTCATTTCTAACCTTATAAATTTATACCTTGTTTGCATTAATTAATTGAATATTCGAATGAGAGATTTAAATTGAATATCTTTATAACGAGCTATTGTACGATGGAGGGGGTGAGGAGGTTTTTTTGGCAGAATTAGCGGCGAAACCTGCAAGGACAGACATAATAATGAATTCGAAGTGTTTACGGTGAGCATTTTAATGTTTATCAATTGTTTATCAGTTTTGTTGAGGATTTAGGGAGGGAGTGAGACAATTAGCTCTGCAATTCCAGTTTTAATTTCGAAGTAATTAATTAGGAAAGACTTCTTGCTGTAAAATACTCTCGGATTCTTACTCATCACTCTTCAGTTTGTTCATTAAAGTATAAAAATCAATTGTTTATCAGTTGTTTAGTATTTTTATTCGAAATTTTTTTTGGGGGGGGGGGGAGAATTAAATATGGAATTCCATTTTCAGTTTCGGAGTAATTAATAAAAAAAAAATATTCACTGCAAAATATTTTTCGATTTTCAATCAAAACTGTTTAGCTTGTTGATTAAAATAATAAATTCAATAGTTAATCAATTCTTTATCACCTCTAAATCTGCACTTAAAATTCAGATTTCGACTTCCCTTTTTATTTTCGTAATAATGAGAAAATTTTCCGCGCTGGGAAATTCGATAAAAAGTGAATAACTGTAAGTATCTGTCAAACCAGCAGATTGTGACCCTCTCCTCAGAACTAGAGGCCCTGGCCAGACATCTGAAGGGAGAGGTGATACTCCTTGACCAGGCCTAACACATGAAGGAATTCCTCCACGAGAAAAACAGGTCAGGATACAGCTCCTTCCACAAGATGTTGTTACCCCACCAGGAGAGGTCAAGGCAAATCCAATCAGAGATGGAGGAGAAGCAGTTGAGACAGGACAAAGAGTCCCAGGATGAGATCCTGAAGCGCCAGAAGGCGTTAAAGGCAGAGCTGCGAAATCGAAAGGACACGAGTCGACAATCTGACTCGATTATCCTCCTCCCAATCGATTCTCTCGTCCCCTGGGGACGAGTGCGCACTTACACTCGAAGAGGTTGCATGATCACTTCGAAATCCTCCGAGGGGAATTACTGTATGAACACTGAGGCACCAAACTCCTGCACTTCGATAACTATCGAGGAGAACGCCAGGTGCACAGAGGCAAGATCACCGAGTGGTCCCTGAAGTGCGGTAGAACTGGAAACCAGGAGATAGACGACACCTCGAACGAAACAACTGATCTCCAGCAGTTGATGAAGCATCGAGCACGAGCTTAACGATCTCCACCGTCTCCAGCAGCACATGAATCTCATCAGGTACCTGAACATGAAGTACCAACAAAGCAAGGACAACATCCTGATCTACATCCTGAAGGAGTGCGTGGTGGGCACAACGTGTATGTTTTTCCTCTCGGAGAATATCTCAGTGGCTGTCGACATCGTGAGGCACATAGCCAGTGGAGTTCTCGCTGCTCTTGAGTTCCTGCACACCAACAACATCGTCCATAGGGACCTCAGGGACTCCAGCATCTACCATCGACAGTGGTGGGATGATCAAGGTCTCCGATTACTCCCTCAACAAGAGATTATCTGACATCTATCACTCCAGCTGTCTGGCGAGCGGGCTGAGCACTACTTTCCCACCATTCTAGGTCTTGGTGAAAAGAAGCTGAACATCTACAGGTTGAGAATAGATGGACAAGAATAGATTCTTCCCACCGGTAAATCATACAGTCACATGTGTAAATACTCCCATAAGATTTACTAATACCAAATATATTTTATTGTCATTAGTAAATATTCTTGACAAAAAGAATATTTCGCAGTGTAGGTGGTCTGCGGAGAAGCGCCAGCAGCACAGCTTCATCAGAACACCCCTGGAGAGGGGTCGGACCCCTCCGAAGACGCCTCGAGGGCACGAGTAGGAGGAGGAGAACGAGGAGGCCATCCAGGACGTCAACATGTGCCTTTCAGAGACACTCAATATTTCTAGAATTCAGAATGAATTCGAGGTACTCAAGGAGCTTAGGAAAGAGGCCTTTGGGGACGTCATCAAGGTCAAGAAACTCGACGGTCAGACCTATGTCATCAAGAGGATCCCCTTGAACGCCAAGAACAGACAGCTGAAGAAAAAGATCACGAGGGAAGGGAAATTCCTCTCGAGGTTGAACCACGAGAACGTCGTCGTGAGGTACTACAAATCCTGTATCGAGTCAGCGATTGTGGAGGACGCACTCTCTTCCAGGGACACCACCAGGGAGACCACCCCCAAAATCTCCCTGCCAGGCATCGATCTTCACAGAATTATCAACATTAATCATGTCAACAATATGAATGTCGATGCTGACAAAATCGAGGAGTTTGTGCCACCTTTCCACGAGGTCGAATGGGGTTTTTCGTACGAGTGAAGGACATCAGCTGCCGAGGCAAATGATTCAGAGGAATCTGACAGTCCATCCGAGAAGAGCACCCTGAGGACAGCCATCGACAATGGCCTCTTCGAGGACGAGAGGGTCTGGGAACACTTTCGAGAGATCGTCGAGGGAATCGCATACATTCACCAGCAGAGGATGTTCCACAGGGACCTCGAGCCTGTAAATATCTTCCTGAACAGCAACAATCACGTGGAAATTGGGGATTTTGATCTCCCCGCCATCGACACGAGGACTCTGACGACCTTCGAGACTGCCAAACCATCCTCCATGACTGAAGAGATTTGCACTGAGCTCTACAAAGCTCTTGAGCTCAGCTCTAAAATAGCTAAGGCAATTGCTGCAGGGAGAACTCCATCAACCATGTGGTCATCCTCAAGAATGAGGAGAAGAGCAGCCTCAGGGTCCACACCTGGAAGAGGGACAGGTACCAGAAGAGGAAGATCTCGGTTAACGACGTGGGAGAGTTCTTCCAGACTCAGAGAAATCACATACCCTTACCAATTCTGAATAGATCTGAAACCAGGAGTTATCCTCAACACACTCTGCTCAATGTTAATGTCAATTTTGTACTATCCGAGAGGGATAAACTGTCAGACCGTGGCAGGAGGACCCACAAGAACTCCATTCTCGTCCAGATGACGTGTAAAATACTCTGGGATTTACATTTATAACTCATCAGTTTATTCATTAAAATACTAAACTCTATTGTAAATCAGCTGTTTATTAGTTTGTTTTAGCAAGTTTCGGTATTCTTACCACAAGTAAAGCAATTCTTAAAATGAGCTGATGGCAAATTATCCAAAACAATAACAATTACTTGGCAAAAACCTGGAGAATTGCCTATGCAAAATAAATTTCCTTTCCAAAAATAATTTACTTTGCGTAAGTAATTATCCAGGTTTTTGCCAAGTAATTGTCATTGTTTTGGGTAATTTCCCATCAGATTCTTATAAGAATTACCTTACTTGTGATAAGAATACCGATATACAGTCTCAATACTTGCTTATTGTTATGAGATAATGATTTACGATGAATATCGGTATTCTTACCACAAGTAAAGCAATTCTTAAAATGAGCTGATGGCAAATTATCCCTGGCAATTCATCATGGGCGGACCATCCGCCCATGTTCTGCCCATGTTCCGCGACTGTTCATTTGAGGGCCAGAAACGATTGGAAATGGTCAGAATAAATGACAATAATTATCCGATTCCGAATTATGAAAAAATATGGTACATGGAGCTAATCAGGAACGTTTTCCTAATTAAGGCCCG